TAATGAAGTCCTCCCAAGCAGGTGGCAGGAATCTATTTTTCTTTTTCAAACAGAACTTTGATCACTTTCCTAACAGCCTCTCTCTCTCTCTCTCTCTTTTTTTTTTTTTTTGTGTGTGTGTGTGCCAGATGCTGTTGGAGCAGGTGTTTTCTGTGCTGGCATTTTGTGGCCCTTTGGAGTTTGAGGAAGAGGCACTACCTTTTGGCCTGTGGCTCTCCTGGGCTACAGCCTTCTGGGCTGCAGGGGTCTCCTTTTCCCCTGGACCCTCAGCAGCAGTGGCAGCAGCCACAGCACCTCACTTCCCCCAATAATAGGTAGGTTTTTTGGGACAAGCTTTCAGCAGAGCCGCCCTTTGAAGCTACTTCATGTCATTCCCGATTACTCTGTTTCTGACTTTCTCGGCATACAAGACTTCAAAGCAGTCAAAATCTGTCATCTTGGATTTTTTCCCCCTCTGGCTTATCTGCTCATCTTGTGGCTGCCCATTTTGTATTGTTATCTGCCTTCTCTCAGGCTTTTCACATGTATTTCTGGTGGCCACTGTGTGAAAACTTGAGGATAATGCCAGCCACCTGTATGCATTTGAAAGGCATGACCTATCTTCTCATCCAAGTGCAGGTGCATCAACCAAAACACTGTTCTGATCAATGACAACCACAACCAAGACCAGCCTCCTGGCACAGGGACCAAGGGAGACACAGGCCACCCAACCAACTTCCACAAAGCACCTGTGCATCATGTTAGTGGTGTTCACCGAGAAGAAAGAAGACTGGACCTGACTGTCTGAGCTCCCATGTGCTTCCCCCAGTGTGGGCACTGGCAGCTGGCTAGAATCAGGAGCTAGAGCCAGGAATAGAAACCAGTGGCTAAGCCAAAACACCTGTCTTTAAAGTAAGGCTTTTGGGGACCAGCATGATGGTTCACTGGCTAAATCCTTGCCTTACAAGTGCCACCACCTCATATGGTTGGTGTTTTGACTGCTCCACTTCCCAATCCAATTCCCTGCTTGTGGCATGAGAAAGCAGTAGAGGATGGCCCAAAATCCTTGGGACCCTGCACCTGCAGGTGAGACCCGCAAGGAGCTCTTGGCTTTGGCTGCTGCAACCACTTGGGGAGGAATCAGCAGATGGGAGTTCTTTCTCTCTATACATCTGTATCTGCCTCTCTCATTGTAAATGCTTCTATCAAAGTAAAAATAATTTTTTTTAAGATTTATTTTTATTGGAAGGGCAGATATACAGAGAGGAGAGACAGAGAGGAAGATCTTCCGTCCGATGATTCACTCCCCAAGTGAGCGCAACGGCCAATGCTATGACGATCCGAAGCCAGGAGCCTCTTCCGGGTCTCCCACGCGGTGCAGGGTCCCAAAGTTTTGGGCCGTCCTCGACTGCTTTCCCAGGCCACAAGCAGGGAGCTGGATGGGAAGCAGGGCTGCCGGGATTAGAACCGGCGCTCATATGGGATCCCGGGCGTGCAAGGCGAGGACCTTAACCACTGCGCCACCGCGCCGGGCCCAAAAAAAATATTTTAAAAGGTTTTCAAATGATTTCCTTCTTACATAAACTAGAGCCAAGTCTAGGCCTTTAGAAGCCATTGTCACTGCCTGCTTTCTCTTATACTTTATTACTCATGATAGAGAGTTGACCTTCAGAGACTGCATATCCCTTCTTCCCACAGCTTCTCCTAAAGCTAACAACAACAGCAACAACAAAAGTAACACTGGCTCTCACAACAGCCCTGGAATGTAAGAATTGTTATGCCATTTTTGAATGTAGATTGCTATAGACCATTATTTGTCATCATCATCTCCAGTTCAAAGAGAGTAGTTGTGGCACCTATAGATATAGGAGCATATGTCTAGGGCGCCTTTAGTAGGGACTGGTGGAATCGGGATTTGAACCCAGGGCCTTCGGCTCCAGAGTTTGTGCTTGCTCTTTTCCACTTGGCCACAGGGACACCTGCTGACCAGCCGCCTCTCTTTGGATTCTGCACATACAGGCTCTTCTCTGCCTGTCATGATATTTTTATTATCTCCATTTTACAGAAGGGTCCCCCTGGGAAAGGTAGCATTTGAATCCAGGTCTGTCCCATGCACAAACTGCTGTTTTTTCCTACACAACACTATCTTTAGGAAGAGAGTAAGCCTCAAATAATTTTCTAATGAATTGACTAGGTTGTTTGACCTGAATTTACCTGACCTCAAAATTATATTGTAGAGATACAAGTGGAATAAATGAATGACTAGCATTAGTAATAGTGAATTCTCACTAAGCACCAGGCATACATGTTTTACATATATAAACTCTTCCTTACAATTCTCCCAGTGTTCACCTACTTTGGAAGTTTAGGCTCACTGACTGCACAGAGTATTTTGTTAAATAAGGACATTATCTAATCAGGAGAAAAATAGCTTTTTTCCCAAAGCAACCAGGACCACCAAAATTAAAGGTTATTTGTTGAGGCTACAACATGTTTCCTACATTCTTGACAGTTTCATTGTGATCTTAGCATCAGAACTATTTCATGTAGCCCAAATACGATAAATCTTTCCACCAAACACTAAAATCCTCAAAAGGGCCTCAATCTCCTTTTCTTTTTTTTAAAGATTTATTTATTTTTATCACAAAGTCAGATATACAGAGAGGATATACAGAGACAGAGTGGAAGATGATTGACTCCCCAAGTGATTGCAACTGCCAGTGTTGCACCAATCCAAAGCCAGGGGCCAGGAGCTCTTCCAGGTCTCCCACACAGGTGCAGGGTCCCAAGGCTTTGGGTGGTCCTCGACTGCTTTCCCAGACCACAAGCAGGAAGCTGGATGGGAAGCAGGGCTGCTGGGATTAGAACCCATGCCCACATGAAATCCCTGCACGTTCAAGGCGAGGACTTTAGCCACTAGACTACCACGCTGGGCCCTACAACCTCTTTTTAAATCCAAGAACCCAGCACAAGGAAATTCTAGCAGAGAGGCTTAAAACATTGTGAAAAACAGAAATCTTCATGTCTTTTGGGAGGAATCTTGAAAAAAATATTTTCTGTTGGAATGTGAAATTGGAAAGGAAGAAATGAAAAAGCCCTCAAGGGAATTCAGGCAGTATCAGTTCTGATGGAAAACCCAGATCCTTTGACATCACCCTTGGGACACAACCCCAACGCCCTGTGGCTGCCCAGCGGATTCTAACATTCTAACCAACAGACGCCACCTCTCAGCTTAATGACCGAGTTTAGAAGGCTGTGAAAGAGCATGTGCAACTCCCGTGGCTGTTAAACCTGAGAAGGACAGCCCAGGAGATGGGAAAAGGACAAAGCAAAGGCTGCCAAGACGCCTGCAAAACCCCCTGTGCTCCCTGTGTGGCAGGTCATGGTGAGCTGGCCACCAGCCCGTGCAAGAACCTCACTGGCAAAATGCACATCAGACGCTGGTCATTAAGAGCTACACCCAAGGACTTGCCCCCACTCCAGCTGCAGAAGTCCACTTAGAAGCCTTTAACTATTCCTTGCTGATTCGTGGTGTGAACCACACTTAACTCTTTTTAGTGTCTCCTTGCGCTTGATGAACATCGGGACACTCCCTACTTGCATTCACTGCAGGCAATGTCCCCTAAGCATCTACACGATGTCCCTGTCCGGTGGCACTTGTTACATCGGTTGTTGCTTACAGATAAATCTGGAAAGGACGTACTTGGTCTTATTCCCATACTGCTGGGTAGAACACACACACACACACACACACACACACACACACACACACACACACACACACACACACACACACACACACACACACACACACACACACGAAAGGCAGACCTGAGACTGAGAGCACTGCTTCCAATAGCTGGTCAAACACTGGTTTAGAAAAGCAGTCAAGCCTTCCTTAATGGAGTGTGCCATGTCCTTATCCCTAAGAGGCTGTGCTTATCAAAAGCACACAGCTCAAGTTTAGAAACAGCTGCAGAACTCACCTGCCTTGAGGGATTCCTAACCTGAGAGAGTGATCAAAGAAAGATGAAAGGGCAGAGACCGGCGAAGTCCTGGCACAAAGTAGGATGCCACTTCTCAGATGGGCTTCGCTTTCATGCTTACACCCTAACCCTTCTCGCACAGAGCCGGCGCCCACATGCAAGGAAGCCCAGAGAGGGGGCATTTTGCACTCTTACAGGGACAAGCCCCAGTGGGCCCAGGCCCCTGCACTCTGCAACCGTGTACAGAGTTCAGACAGGTAGACACGGCCGAGTCTCCAGGGCCTGGTGCATTTAAACCAGGCGATTATAAAAACATGCTTTCAAAGTCTGGTGAGGCCGTCCAATCACCCCAGGAAGGGAGAACAGAGAGCAGTAAAGGGAACAAGGAGTCACCAACCCAGGCAACCTGAAAACTACACGGCTTCCTGGAGGGAACCACCATCACTTTCGATTTCTTTTCCATTTCAACCAAAACTTCCAAAAAAAAAAAAATAGGTGGTTATTTCAAGTAAAATCACACACAAGGGAAACCCAAGTCTAAGGCGAGTTTCAGACCAAGAGAGGAGCCTCCAGGCGTGGTGAGGTTTAGGTCCCCACCCCCCTCCCATCTCGCAGCGATCCGGAAGCAGCCGCCAGCGATTCAGCGGGGTTTCAAAACGACGGGGAACAGGATGTGCCCATAGAAAGAAATGTTGCGCGTCCGGGTGGAGCTGCCCAAGTTACTGCTGCAAAGTGCCCTGAACTTTGAGACGGTGGCGTGGGGTGACTGCCCATCCTGCTCCCGATCTGGCCTTCCACACACCGCAGCCCGGGGAGGTACCTGGCGGGAGGTGCAGGGACCAGCCGGCAGGAGGGGGCAGAAGGGGAGAAGCCTGCTGGGGCTCCTTGCGACTCAACGTTTCGCTTTCATCCAAGTCGGGAGCGTAGGGGGACCCCGAGGGAAACCCGGGCGGCACAGAAGAAATGTCCTCCACCCCCCCACCGCCTTCCCCGGGCTAGCGGGACGCGAGGGCGAAGTCGCCCCAGGCGCCTTACCTGTGCAGTACCGCGCTCAGAACCCGATGGGCGGCCAGGGCGCGCAGGTGTTGCTCCCGGGCATCCTGGGGCCGGCCTGGGCGCGCTGGGCATCCATCGCACGCGGCTGGCTAAGCTCTTCCCGCCGCCGGAGGCCGGGGCTAGGTTGGACTGCTAACGTCTTCTCCACCCGGCTAAAAACACAGCGCGGGTCCCACGGCGACAGCAGCAACAGGCACCGAGGCGCCAACCGCGGTGACGGCGGCGGCGGCGGCAGCCGAGGCGGAGGAGGAGGCGATGTGGTGGTTGAAGAGGAGGAGGAGGTGTCTGCGCGCGCGGCTCGCGTTTCCTCCTCCCCGGCTGGGCGAGCGCGGGGGAGGCGAGGGGTGGGCAGGCGCCGGGATCTCCCTGCCCAGTCCCACGGGAGCCGCGAGGGCGCCGCGGCGCCCCTCTGCCCCACCGCTCCGAGTGACTACTCCGGCGCCACGGCCCGGGTGCTTGAGTTCCAGGCGAGTAGCAGCTGCTGCAGTGCAGGTCCGCCACGGCCTCTGGCGTCCCCAACCCTTCGCCCCTTTGCTCCATGCTCGGTCCGCCTCTGGGAGGGAGGGATTGGACCCGATGCTCGGGTCGCAGCCCCATCCAGCCCTTGCTCAGGGTCCTGGCTCAGTGACCTCCAAAGGAACAGGGGCCGCGGGCCTGCGCGTGATCCAGGCCCTCGCGGCGGGATGCGCGATGGCACACGCTGTCCCCGGTGTCCTATTTATAGCAGGTGGCTTGCTCGGCCTGAGAGGCCCTCAGCAGGTGGCACTGCCAGCGTGCTCTCCGTGCTCAGTTGCACGATCGCCTTTTGCTTCTGAAAGGGACACAGAGGAAACTGCCCACCTGACTGTCTCCGCGTCACCCTTCCTTCTGTCTAGCACTGGATGCCCTGCCTCCCCGGATGAAACACCAGTGAATCCCATTTGCTGCCAATTGCGGGGTGACACGGGGATCTGGGTTGGGTGTTTTCCTTTCCCGGCTCGCGGAGTACCGCACAAAAACACGCTCGCCTCCCCTACCCCCAGGCACACGCCCGCCCCCTTCCACTTTTCTCCTGTCTACCCCTCACACGATTATGGACAGCCGCCTCTGTTCAGGGTAAGTGATGCTATCGGTGTAAGGAGAGACGCAGGTGAATGTAAGAAGCTTGAGTTTGCCAGTTTCCTAGGATTAGAGCAATAAACAGGCAAACCTCTACAGGTGCAGATCCCACCAGCTAACCGGGGCAATTTCTCATCCAGGGAACAGGAAGCCAACTCTAGAGACAGGTCAGCAGGAAGGGGAGCGAGAGTGAGAAGAAGGGGGAGATGACACCCAGGGAAGGCCGCTGGGACACCTGCTTGGCTCAGGTGTTTGCTTTCCATAACTTGAAGGAGACAAGGATGGAGCTGCAGGAGTGGAATGGAAGCCATGCCTCAGGCCCTCAGCTGGCCTGGCTGGACTTGGGCTGTCTAGGCTGTTTTAGCTGTAAAATGGAACAGATACATGCTGTAGAGGGTCCGAGGTGGTGGTGGGGGGGGGAGGTGGATAGCCCCATGACATGGCCTTGATGGGCCAGAAGAAGAGTCCCAGCCAGGACCACTACAGCTCAGGAGGGCACTTGGGGGAGGGAGGACTCCCAACCCTCCTTGGGAAAGTGCTACCCCCCTCTGTGCTCTGCGAAGCCACCAAAGCCTTACAACCCTTTTGTTTGGGGCATCCCTGACCCCTTTGGATTCTCACATGATAGCAATAGCTTTATTGGTGCTGTCCCTAAGTACCCTACATATATGTGCTAAGTACCTTACATGTATCACTTCTACTCCTCCTCAGAGTACTACATGCCAAAGATGACTGGAATCCCTGGGGCTAATGAGGATGGAGGTGGGTAGTTAGGGTCTCTGGTGAAGACACATTTAAGATGCTAATTGTGTTTCCAAAAAAATGGAGTTTTCCCGTTTCCATATTCTTCCTGAAGCGAAGAAGGAACAAAGGGACAGAATCAACGTATCACTCCATTAGAGCAAGGAGACTGGCCCATTTTGGTCACTGTCAAAAAAAAAAATGGTACCTCAGTTTATCTTCAGGATGGGGGAAGGAAGCTACTGGTCTCACCTTTTGTTTTGGGGCCAGGTGTAGAAATTACTGCCCATTATAAATAACTTTTTTGTCTTTCTACCCTTGGGGTGATTCATGTGAACCCCTTCCCTAGATGGGGCATAAAAGACCACATCTTCATCATTTCCGTGGGTCCTTCCCTACCTCGGAGCCCCTCCTGTCACTCAGCCAGGAGCTGTCTTTTTTTCCTAAAGAAATCATACTTTACAAACTAGAGTTTGTCCGCATGAAAATGAGACAAGAAATGAGGTTGCTGCCATGTTTTCACACCAATCACCCAGCAGTCTCTCTAAAACAACATCCTACAACAAGGAGACAAAGCGGTTCGTGCCATGTGGGAAACTGCAGGGCAACCAGGTGCTGGGAGACTAATATTCCAAGCCCTTCCCAACACACTTGCTCCCTGGGCCAGTGCATTGCTGCCTCACAGGCCTGTACTTTGTTATGGCATGGTTCTTTGTGTATTTCAGCCTAAATCTTTTTCATAAAGAAGTGAGGGATGCACACAGTCACGAATTCTGTAATGAACAGGATGTGGGTTGGTTATGGAAATGATTTTTTTTAGATGATGACCAGGTAAACCAGTTGAGCTGTACTGCACCTCCACATCCTACCTTGATTAGCTCATGTTCTTGCTGGCGATGCTTGTACATCCTCCTCTCCTCTGCTCAGCAGCCTGCCCAGAGACCTGGGCGGTCACATGGTACACTGCTGCCCATGTTATAGGCACTCACAACCACTTTTAATCCTCAGCCTGGCAGGTGATAGATGCAGCAATTACCTGACAACCCTGCTCATGCCTGGCCTGCCAGAGGGGCCAGTGGGCACACCCACACTCCACTTACAGAACCTCCTGACCAGACCTGTCTCCATCCTGCCACACCACTTCTTTTGCTCTTCCTTGCTCACCTCTTCCCACTCTTGCCCTGGCCTCTGGTCCCAGAGTGCAGGAGAGCTCGGGTATAGGTAGGCAGCCCAGGGCTGGGGGGTGGGGCACAAGATAGGAGGTGGAAGAGCAGAAAGCCAGGCTTTCTTTGGTTTGCGTTTCTCCTAGCGCTGCAGTGGTGGACGCAAACACTGCTTAGCCCACTGCTGAAACCCTGCAAGCTCCAGGGCAGAGATTCTTAACTCAGTGGAAAGTTACTGCCTCCACCCCAATCAGGGCCATGGACTCGGAGAAGCAGCCGCAGCTGGATCACCTTTGCTGGGGTTGGTGACCTATGAAATGACTACGGAGGATTGGAGCTTCCTGGATTGAGACCCAGTCTATATTGCACAATAAAAAGGTCTGAGCTCTTTTCTGCTTTGCAGGCTCTCCTGAGCCAACCCTTGCTGCTGTGACAGGAAGCAGACAGACCAGCAGGGCAGGGAGAGCTGCCTTGACCCCTGCAAAGTGGAGAGGGAAGAGCTTGCCATCCCTCTCTCGGGCAAGCGCCATAGCCTAGGATGAAGGTAACTCCTGCCCTTCCATGTATGACCCTGGGACTCCCAGTGGAGCCAGTAAACCACAGGGCGGAGCTGTGGGGAGAGCCTTGGAGAGCTCCCTCTGGGGCCAGGCCAGAATTCTGTCTGAGCTCTTGAAGTCACAACCACCAACAGCAGCAGGGAACAGAACCTCCGTGTGGTTCCCTTGGCTTCTCCAGACAAGTGTGGTGTTTGAATGTGGTGGTCTGTACAAGAGACTTCGAGCTGACACCAGAAAACCCTGTGGGCATGGGGGTGGGGCACACCAGCCACCAAGGCTGCTGCATTTCCTTGTCTTCGCCTCCAGCTTATGCTAGAACTCTGCCTTGGAGCATTCTTGTAGGACTTTCCCTACACAGGCTATCTTAACTTAGCCACTTGCGGCATCATTAATAATTCATTAAGAGAAGCCTGACATGGTACAACTGAAGAGCTCTAGAAGACTGAGTCATTTGGAGAGGGACAAATAGGAGGGCCTGGGGGTTAGAAAAGGAGACAGAGGCATAGCTTTCTTCAAGAAAGTTTTTGATTTTCTTATTCATTTCTTCAAGCGACACATTAGTCATTCAATAGCATGATATTTAACTTCATCGTGTTGTAAATTTTCTATTTGTCTTCCTGTTGATTTTGTTTTATGGCTTTTCACTTAAGGGGGGGTGTAGTAACTGTGTAAAAGAGACTATCCTATCCAGATGTGAAGATACAATGAGTATGCATCTCTACTTCCAAATTAAAGGTGGACTCCAAATGAAACTGTTGGATCTATCTTGACAATAGGATGCTGGACTATCTGGCATTCTCTGTGCCAGCAATCAGGACTCACCTAAATGTCAGACTGATCGGCAAATGACTGCTTATGAAGGACTATACTATTGTAATCATATGGTGAAAATCAATCAGGGGTTGGGAATTTAGGGAGAGGTTAGGGAAATCCCAGACCCTATGAAATTGTACCATAAAATTTTTAAAAATTAAATTAAAAATTAAAAATATATATAGGGGAAATTGGGGGGGGAGGAGTTTGGAAAGGGGGGAAGGAAAATCCCAGAGCCTATGGAACTGAATCATAAAATAATAAAAATTTTTAAAAATCATGAAAAGTGGGCCCGGCGCGGTGGCGCAAGTGGTTAAAGTCCTCGCCTTGCACACCCGGGATCCCATATGGGCGCCGGTTCTAATCCCGGCAGCCCCGCTTCCCTTCCAGCTCCCTGCCTGTGGCCTGGGAAAGCAGTCGAGGACGGCCCAAAGCTTTGGGACCCTGCACCCGCGTAGGAGACCCGGAAGAGGCTCCTGGCTTCGGGTCGGCATAGTATCGGCCCGTTGCGCTCACTTGGGGAGTGAATCATCGGACGGAAGATCTTCCTCTCTGTCTCTCCTCTCTGTATATCTGCCTTTCCAATGAAAAAATAATAAAAATAAATCTTTAAAAAAAATCATGAAAAGTAAATACAGGGACCTTGCTTTTAAAATGTTATGAGAATCCTATATGAATCCAATGGAGAAAGTCTCTGGTTAATGTGGAAAAGAGACCTTTAATAAAACTATTGATAATTATTATCAGGTTCCTAACTGTTCAAATGAGTTAGATAATTTTTAAGTATTGGTATGATACATTTTTACTGA